ATGTGCTCTAAGACACTCTAAAGAGTGGAGCATCCTGGCCTTGAAAGGCAGTGGGATTCCTTCAGGTTCACTCCTATACTATCACGAAAAAAGCATCTGGCCTGCTGCTTATCATTTGAGTGTGAGGCCACACACTCTGTCTGTAAAGTGTTTTGTGCTTTAAAAAAAAGTTTCCAATATCCATTTCTCTTGGCAGCAGTGACTTGACATCATTTTTGAAGTAAGAAAATTACAGTGGAAACATCAGCACCGTTAAAACATTTAGAAGGAAGTTAATCTATCAAAATTAAGTGTAAATAATTTGAAAATCCAACTCTGATATTTCAACTGTGGAAATATATTGAATCTGCAACACACTAGTGAACATGTCATTTTCAAGCGCAGCTTTAATTATAGAAAATGTAAATGAAGATACTTGAAGTACAAACCAGGGCAAGCCAGAGGAATATTCTGCTCTTAAAAGTAACAAAGACAAAACCAACTGGTGAAGTAAACGGGAGGCGATTATTAGAAAGCTCAAGCAGCTCCCAGATTTACCAGCAATTTCATTCCTGGTCTGATCAAATATTATGATTTCTGAGCACATAACAGCAAGGAAGCAAAGTTCATTCCCTGCAAAGTGAAACGACCAGGACTCGAGCCAGACCAGCCCAGTACAGGCATCGCATCAAATGCTCAGGGCTGCAGACGATGGCAGGGCTGAGTCCAGCCGCAAAAATAAGTAGCTCTCGCAGCACTGTGTGTGAGCTGCTCATCTTGCTGTGGCACTTGACCATCTGCAGCTGCTTCGCTGCAGCCCCCAGTGAGTTCATGTCCATGAAGTCCATCTTAATGAAGTGGAGGAAAGGGTCTTCAGGAATATAAAAGATTTCCCTGCTTAGCATGGAGCTGAGAGCAATGTGAAAAGAGAACAAGCGGTGCAAGGTAGCGGCAAAGCCCTGTGGCTCCTGCAGCCCCACTCAACAGAACCACGTTGCACTGCTCCCTGCTGTGTTGTTCCCCCAATAAACGTGCGAGGGCCCTTCTACCTCTTTATTTCTGCTTCCTTAGAGCTCTGGGCTTGCTGGTATGTGAAAGGAGAAACGTAAGCATATGTTCAGTTGCTCAATCAACCTTTTCTCGATGCACACTCAGTGATCTCAGCGAGTCATTACGGCATAATTACAATTTGAGTGTGATATGCTGTTTGTAGAAAAGTATCTATTTTTAGCTGAAGGAATGCTGCAGTCCCTGAAAAGGAAGAGAAAGAAAGAAAAAAATAGGAAGGGAGAAAATCCGTAACCAGCAAATCAATGCTACTGTTAACTGATATTATGAGACACCCTGTAGATTTACAATGCTTGCATGCAGCCACATAAATCCGTGTTGAAAAGAATGCCTACCAGGGGTTAAATTCATGTGCCTGCACTGCAGCCTATTTCTGTCAACACTCAGCTCAGGAAATAAACATTTATGCTTTCTGAAATGAAAGTGTATTTTTGAAGACTAGCCGTCAGATATTTTTTGCCCTTCACACTTTCAAATGCTTAGCCTTTTTTGTAAGTTGACTGCAAAGTGCATCAGTTTGCTAGGCAAAAAGGAAAAAAAAAACCCTTGACAAGTGCCCATGGCATCATTGTCAAGCACAAGAGTTTCTGGTAGGAGATGGCAAGAGGGTTGGCACAAAACATGCTTCCTTCAAGCTTATTACCTCGGGGGTACCTGACTCCTGAGAAGCCTTTCAATCCTTCCAGATGACGTTGTTCCCGGCTGTCATCTGCTTTCTCCGGAGCGCTGCTGCAGCCGAGCACTGCCGAGCTGCGGTCAGGGCACAGGGCCTTCCCACCAGCACAGCCTGCTGGGCGCAATGGCGGCGGCAGGCAGGGAGGCGGGAGTTGTCACCATGTGCTGCATGAGGAGGGCACTGAGGTGTGCAGTGTTGTTTTTTAAACAGCCGCTGTGCAGGTCTGCTCTTAAAACTCCTTCCAAGTAAGGCTCGTGAGGGTGTAAGGAGGCAGAGCAGGCCGGACAAAGTTCCAGATCCTGCCATGGGCAGTAGCGCAGGGCTGTGCTGGAAAGGCTGGTGCAGTAGGCTGGGAGTGCATTCATGCATAAGCTTGAAACTTCTTTTCAGATAGTCACAATGCAGAATAGGAATTGTCTACTTGTCATGGAATAGAATTTGTCATAGGGGATCCCTATAATGAGAGCTTGAGAATCAAAGCTAAGTTTGTCATGGAATACGCACAGCCTTCACAAAACATTTCAGAATGAGTCCCTGTATGTAAATACACATATACCTCTGTGATCTGTTCTAACTGTGACTTGCTGAGCACCTATTAAACAGGCACTGGTGGGATGCAGGACAACTGCTCACATATTCCAAAAAATCAGGTAGATTACAATATCATACAATTTTATACTCTCACAAGGGGCGCCTTGTTAAAACATGCTTTCACTGAGCGGGCTTTCAAGGAGAAGTTACTTCAATCAGGGAGGAAATAATCATGTTTGTTTGATTTATTACTGGAGAGTAGAACAGCGTGGTTTATATCTAAGAGTTTTCCTTGCAAAAATGTCGGTTGATTTTTCGTGTGTCATATAAAAACAATTAGTATATTTACTGTAGCAGAGAGCAGATTTTTCAAGAGTGCAGAACAATAAATTATATACAAAATCCTATTTTCCCCCCTCACAGGACATATGTAATTTCCTTTTGCAGTGACACGATAAATGTTATTGAAACATAGCAGTATTTGTTAAAAAAAAAAAAAAAAAAAAAAAAGGTACTAAAATAGACAAGTAAATAAAAGGGGAAGGTTGGGAGTGTTCCAGGAAAAAAAAAGAAAAAAAAAAAATAGAGTAGAAAGAAATTGCAAGTTAAACTTTTTTTTTAATCAAATCTGATTTTATTGCTTCTTGCTTAATTAAACTCCTCAGAAGACTGTGAAACATTGTTATACCTGAAAAATTGTTAATTTGTAAATCACAGGGACAAAAGGGCTCCACTGCAACTTTAAAGTTTCTATGCACGTAAATGTCAATAGAGTGCCTTCTCCATCATCAGCACTAAATTCACATTGATGCCTCTTTTCTTCTCTGTATTGATCCTTCCATGAGAACGTAGATTTGTATCTGTTAATTAATGCGTCCTGAAACAGCGTTTGTATTAATCAGGCAGATAAGAAAAATTGGATGCCTGCACCCTCATGACAACCGTAAAAGTGCTGGCCCTGATAAAATCGTGGATGGACCTCAATAAAAAAGTTCCTCCTTCCACTCAATAAACTAATCATCCTGCTTTTAATTATTCGGCAGAAAGATGTGTGGAGATTGGAGAATGTGTAAATCTATTTACTAACAGCAGTGTCTGGGAGGGAGAATAGGGCTGTCACAGGACGGTGCTGCAGGCTATGGTCTCTGTCCATCTGCTGCTGCAGAAAAACTGGTTCTTGAAAGACGGGAAGGAACAGAAGCGTTGAAGCTAATTGAAATCACGAATTCTTCCCTATAACCTCTCAAACGATTATTTCTTCTCCATTTCTCTCTTATTTATTTTAATCACAGATGTGTTATTTTCCACTGTCACCTCCTCGAGGGTTTTCTGGCAGCGCTGGCTTGGGTTTTGTTGGTTTTATTTTGAAGGCAGAGAGCTACAGTTCTATCATGAGACTCAGAAGACAGTATGAGAAAATGAAAACAAATAAGGGGGAGGAAAAAGAGAGAGCAAGCATGCAGCCAGTTTTATATTTCATTTTTTTATGGATGCCTGGTGGTTTGGATGTGGGGTTGTCTTTTTTTATTGTATTACTTTTGTTGCTTAGTGCCTATAGAGAAAATCTTGTTTGGAGTAGATGCCTTGCAGATTTGCTAGTTTATGATCTATTCCTGCTTGACTATAACTCTTGACTTTCAAAACAGAAAAATGCATTTAAGTGTAATCTGATGGCAAAAAGAATGTTCTTGCAGCAGGAACCCTGTCAGAGAACATGTAAGCAGCTCCATAAACAACTAAATGAAAGCCTCAGACATGCCTTAAGACCCTTTAAGAGAGGCTTGACTAATCCCCTTTGATGATTTTATTAAGTACTCGTGGTTGCGGGTGCCAACTGGCAAACTGCTGCTGCTCACCAACAGGCCAGGAAATCACATCCTCTCCCCTCTTGTTCCATAGCTCCTAATGTGATTGGGGTATTAGCAGTTTGATATCAGAAATTAACAGGTACTGTAAACAAGAGGCTGAAAAGGTAAAGCAGTAAAGATGTTTGCCCCCCATGATCCTATTAGGAAAGACAGCAGGGGAAAAAAAAAAAAAAAAAAAGGAAAGCAAAAGTTAAATTCATTAAGAGGCATTTATTAAATTTTTGCTTGTCCTCAGAAAGGTGACAGTGTGACTGCTGTTCAGTTGGCACCATAATGTGGCATTCTGTTCCTTCAAAAAGTGCCGCAGAGGCAGGAGCTGTTAGAGAAGGAATTAGCATCTTTTCTGAGGAGTGAGTTACCTCTCTTTCCCCTGAGGTTAAAGTTCAAAGAGAAATTTCCTCTTTGTGCTTATCACTTTAATTCTATTAAAACACCAAATCTTCCTTTTCTATTTTTTTTTTCCCCTCATAAATTATCCTTCTTGGACTGTGGTACAGATGAACAGGGGCAGGAAATCCCAATTCCACAGCATTGGGATTTTAGAACTGAGCATGAGTATTTCAGGGCAAAGAAGACATGGTACAAATCCTAGACTGTCACTGTAATGCTCCCCAAATTAACACAGTTCTTACGGAAAGATTCTACAAAATCCTACTTGTTTACAACTCTGTGTGTTGATTAGAAAATATTAGGTATTGCATTGATTCACTTTACTGTAATACAGTGAGGAAGACAGACACAAAATCAGAAGGGAGAATAATAAATGTGTGTTTTATGACAGTGCATATAAAAATAAGTAGAAGAGCAGATTTATGGCAAATCCAAACATGCTTAATAGTTTTTCTTGTGTTTTGTTGTGTTTTTTTTTTCCTATTCAGGATTCTCTACTTTGTCTCTAGCTGACCAGATGAGCCTTCTGCAGAGTGCTTGGATGGAGATTTTGATTCTCGGTGTTGTATACCGGTCACTTTCTTTTGAGGATGAGCTTGTTTATGCTGAAGACTATATTATGGATGAAGACCAGTCCAAATTGGCAGGCCTTCTTGACCTTAACAATGCCATACTGCAACTGGTAAAGAAATACAAGAGCATGAAGCTGGAGAAAGAAGAGTTTGTCACCCTCAAAGCTATAGCACTTGCTAATTCAGGTTGGCAGAGTGGCACAATGGTTGCTACATTTTTAATATGTCACTTTTCTTTTCTCCATAGTATTTTCTGCATGCTTGTTTTAAATACAGGTTTAGAGCAAGAAGTTGCTAATCAGCCCTTAGTCTAACAGGCAACAAACAAAGCAGTTCAAACTAAGAGGAGCTTTCTGGTCCTAAGTAGTCGGGGAATACGTTCCTAAGGGAGTGGAGAGTAATGCACTGTGATTTGGAGAGTATTTTATGGGCAAAGATCCTTACAAATGAATATGGATGCTCTTCTCCTAAATCCATTCCATAATCCAGATGAGTCTAATCATCGTAGTTAAAATGAACAGAAAGGATACATGAGGATATGCTCTATCCGTTCTCTTTAAATGCAGCTACTGATTTATAAGATAGAGTGAATTCAGGGTATGGGAGGGGGGAGGAAATTCTTTATTAATCTGACAGGAACCCCACCTTACCTTTTGGATCCTCTGCATTTGTGGTAATGCTTCTCCAAAGATTACTGTTACCTGCGCAGAAAGAGTTAAAAATCTCAGAAAGATTTTTTTTCCTGCATTTGAATTTAAAAGTGCTGAAGCAGTGAATACTGCCAGATAAGTAAAAATCGTTTTTGCTTTGTTGTTTTTCCTTTTGTGTCTCCTTAATGCTTTATTGTGGTCTTAAGTCCCTTTTAGCATTTGCATAAAGTTCACGATAGATCCCTCTTTAATGACGTGCCGATCATTAGATACCTGTGTGTCAATAACATGCTCTGATGCTATGTTCCATTGACAGTCACACCGTGCCCCTCCATCTGCTTTTGTTTTGACCCTATCTTTGAACTTTATCTTGGTTGCTGGCCAGTAGTTTTCCCTTTAATTACAAGAAGGAAACTGTCAATAAAATCTGTTAAATGGGATGCAATGAGTGGCTTGAATGGGCGGACGGCTATTTGTTCAAATTCTGCAGCATTCAAGGTATTGACAGTTTGTTTTCTGGGGCCATATGTGACGATCAATCTCAGGCTGGGCTCAGCCGCGCTGAAAAATGAAAAACCAGATTGCTTTTGCTTACTTGTGGATGACGACTTGTGATTTGGCGCGGTCCTAGTGAGATGAGACCTTCTGCCCAAATTGCCCCCCTGAGAGCCAGGACGCGTGACTGTTTTTAGAAATAATTTTTTAATTGATTTTGTAATTAACAGTTCATCTACAATATTGATGCATGAATCCTCAGATTGATAGGAGGGAAATTGTTTTCAACAATGAAGTTGTACTTTCCTATTTGTCTTTGTAATGTGATTTAGCACTCTGCATTTTTAATTGGAAATATAATTCAAAAACATGCAAAGCCAAAATGCTTATTAGTTTCTTTGTATTCTCCACCCCACTAACTCTGTCCCTGGTTTTAGAATATTATTTTATTTTCGGAAGAGAAAAAAATCTGAAATGTCCCTCAAAGCTCCAAGCTGTTTTGTAATTGAGGATTTATTTAAAATTTTTGACCACTGTAATTGTACACTTGACAACAGTTTGCAGCTACAGGAAGGTAGCCCTAGATTGTTCATGCTTACGGAGCAGAGCAATAAAGTTATCTGGAATTAGGAGTCCAAATTGGGGGCTTTTTTTTTTTTTTTTCTAATTTTTAAATTGGTCTATTTGATTTAGAAGTATTTCTGCATCTTACTTGATAAAGACGAAAGGAGCTAGAATATAGGAATCCAGTGTTTAGTACCACTCACAGCCTTTTTTTCTTTTTTTTTTCCTCAAGAGGCATGCAGTGTTTAAGAAATAATAAAATACATTGCTGCCAAAAAAAGTTTATTCATGCATTGTGCATGGAGTGTGTTAAAATAATCCATAGCTTCATTAACTTCCCTGGGAATTACAACCAGGATAATGTCAGAGAGAAATACCGTTTCGTGTACTAGAATTCAGGGCACATTTAAGGGAAAACATTTCCTTCCCTCATCTGCAAAGGACTAAAATTGCCATTTTAAAATGAAACTATTGCATGGAGGAGTTACAAAGCAAACCAGGCGTTTGACTTGCCTCTCAACAGAGTGCTCTGATGGCTGGCATTAAATAGTGCAGGTCCAGGTTGTACATGCGGCAGATATCAAACTTCTGTCAACTATAGCTGCACCGACCTGTGGAGGTAAGACAGCACCTGCAGAGTATCAAGCCCCCAGTGTTTTAATTACAAATACTGCTAAAATTAAAGTAAGAAAGCAAAATTGAAGTTTTTGTCTTTTTTATAGACAAAACCAGAAGTAGCTTATTTGTACATAACTGAGGAGTTGGTTAATGGAATTGCAGCCATACCTGAAAAAAGGAAGTAAAATGCCATTATAAAATCAATCAGTTAGCAATTCATGTTTTGAAGTATTTTGCTGCTGCATCGACTTTCTTCAAGAACTACAGCTATTTATTTTTCTGGTTTAAAATAGAGCAACGTTTCTATAGCTGTAGAGAGCAAGGATGAAGCAGAATAAGAAATCCCAGGCATTTCAGCCACATCCATGCTGTCTGCTAGGATCCCAGGTTAACTCTGCTGTAAATAGTAGACAAAGGTGGTTTTATGGCTCTGCATCTGTGTTGGTGATTTATGACACAGTGTTGTGCTGTTTTCATTGCTGGTATAGAGAAACAGAAAAAGAAATTGTAGATTGTCTTAATATTGATTGTATTTTGTATAAATAGGTACCACAAGCTTTGCTTTGGCCAGCATATCTGTTACCCTGACCATGAGAACACCCCAAGTGCTGCCTTTTCTGTTGGCCTGTGGAATCTCTTCTCGTGGTATTTAAACTCAGAGAGGTCCCTCGTACCACAGGACCATCCTCATTCCCGGCCCTCCCTTCTTTCTTTCCCTGTCCTCTGTGCACAAGAGCAGGTTAGCCCCTCAGCTGCCCAAACACCGTGATCTGGCACTGCCAAGCACTTTGTTTACCCACGCAGAAAATCAGTTTTGAATGGTTTCCAAAACATGCATGTACCAATTACTTCCCTGTGTGTAAGGGAAGGTGAACTATTTACAAAATACATTCAGGTGAACACAAGTGCACGCATGCACACTCTGGCATGTAAAAGGTGACCTCCTCATCTTTTTTGTGTTAGAAAATACTTCCATGTATTGATTAGGAAATACTAAACAGGGAGTTGCAGGTGAGCAGATTTTTGAAATTGCCTCATCAGTGAGGACAAAATTGTGCCTTCAGGCCAAAATGTTGCAGAAGAGCTCAGGAGTCAGAACTCAGAGCAGATTTTTAAGAGAAGCTCAATTCCCATCTAAGACCTAAAAATAAGTAACTAACGTGTCAAAATACATTAGCACATTATAAAATGTTATCTGTGTGTATCTGCCTAATAGAGTGCTGGCATCTTGAAAAATCTGACCCAAATGTGGATGCTAGGCACTTTAGAAGTATAACCCTATGTACTGTTGAAAATTTAATCTTAAGCATTAATATTGGCTGTCTCGCCTGTGCTACCAGAAGGAGAAAAGGGCCTCCACTTGCCATCACAATTTCAGGTCTCTCTTATTAACTGTCTCTTAAAAAAAAAACAAACAAAGACACAACCCTTTCAGTGCCAAAAGAGCAAGAACCAAGAAGCATCTTGTGCATGGTAACAGCATGAAGTGCAGAGCAACACTGATGCCAAGTTGCACAGGGATCTGTCTTGGTAGAAGATGTAGTTCTTACCTACAGCTCATTTCACTTTCCAGTCAACAAAACACTGTACTCAGAGCTAGGCTATTGGAATTAAATAATACTATTATAATAAAAATTAATTGCTAGAGCCCCATAAATCACTTATTCTGTAGGATTTCATCATTATTTTCAGTGTAGAGTGTGGCTTATTGTATGTCACAAAATACTGTATTTATTTTCTAACAATGCCATTTTTTAAAATTTTATTTAGCCATTTTTGTGTGTCTGTCAGTGTTAGACTTCACGTTTAACACATACCTATGATGAATAGACATGTATAAAAATATATATACATGAGCATTTCATTGGTGTACTACGAATGTTTATTTTACCAGCTAGGAATAGCAACTTCTTCATATAATTAACTCCTTCATCTAATTTCATATGAAGAACAGAGAAAAAAAGATTGAGAAAAGGAAATCGTCAGGACAATCAGCGTTTTCCTGCTGCATGAACACAGCTTTTTTCTCATGGCCCATTTTCATTTAATCACATAGATTACACCTGCAATGCTTAGAGGAAGTAAATAACCATTCCCAAGTGTGATGTATTTTGGGTCGGTTGTTGTTCACCAAGCGCCACAGCAGATAGGTGCTGGTAGTCACCCTCTCTTTCCACAGCAGTGTACCAATGGCTCTCAGTGGTAACATGGCAATTATTGCTGTCTTGTAGTGAAAAAAAGGATTTTAAAAAGGATTTTGATGCAGTCATTCAACATTCTCTCTTAGTTGGTGTCTTATCCCACAACTCTATCATTTTGATACCCCTTTCCGGAGTTTTAGTAGCCTTACTGAGTACGTATTCAAATCAGTTGTTGGTGTGCAATTTGTTCTACGCTGGGGAAATATTATTTTATTTAGGGTCCTCACTACCTATCCTAGTGGAAAGTAAACCATTTCAGCAATAAAAAAAAAAGGGTCATTTACTGCGTTTTAACTTCAGCCTATGCTTTCAGTTTACCACTGATCCAGTCAGCCCCTGAAATAAGCAGGCACGTTCTGTGAAGTCATTTCTCAGTCCTGCTTAGTATCCTGCTGTGTTTTAGAAACTTTTGTGAAGTTTCAGGTTCCATACCTCTCCTTAAAAGCCAACCAAACTTGAGCTATTCAGACAAAGATACTATTCACCAAAACAAAGCATACGAGCCTCTGTTTCACTTCTTTGGTTTCTACTGCCTCTAATCTGTGTTGAATTCATAGTTTATACCTCTTTAATTTCCAACATATATTTCAATTGAAATGTCTGTTTCCAGTGGAATAATCAAGGTATAAGATGATTCCCACCATACCCTTTTGCAAGAGAAAATACTGTGTTTGTGTGCTTGTCTCTTAGCCTCACCATGCAGCTCCCAGCAGATAGTTCTGTTCAGGAAAGACAGATAGACAGATGATAGGCAAGTTCAGTTCCAGGCTAGAAAAGGCTGGGAATTCTTGCTGGGTGAGGTTTGATTTGCTCATATGACGCTGTTGTCTTTCTCCTAAAATGGATAAGCACTTAGCAGAAATGCAAGTTTTCCTGTATGAATATCTCACATTTCAGCAGGATGTGACAGAGCTCTGTAATTCTGAACACAGCTCCCCAGTGTAAATACTGTGGCAGTTTTTGTGCTTTTTTGTTTGTTTGTTTTGTTTTGTTTTTATTGGCAATGTCATCCAAAAAATAATTTTCTTTTATTTGAGACATAACCCAGATTAGGATTCTGTTCTTAGGTGAAGTCAAAACTGTAGTGTACCATTCTCACTCTTCATCTCATCCAGTTCTTCCAGGAACCTGCAGCTCCCTGACCTGATTTACCAGTTCTTAGTTTATGAGCCACCCCTCTGCAGCACAATGATTGCTGTCTCTCAAGTGCCTTGCCCTGCTCGTTGCTTTTTGCCCCTCTGATGTGCTCTATCAGCATCTTAATGTATTTGTTCACTGCTGCACACTCCCTGCTGCTTGATTCACTATAATAATTTCTTGCTTGATGCTACCAGAGTTTTCTGATGTGAAGAAATACTTCATTTCAGACCCCTGGGTTTCTTCTGCTTTCTCCTCAGTGACGCTATATACACACTGCTCTTTCCTGAGCAGCACCTTGTATCAGCTTATCTTGTGCCTGATGAGCAATTCTAGTGTCACCAGTCAGAGACACTTCTTTTTCAGAGCATTTAAGATCAAATTCTGCTTGCTTTCAAATGACAGTACTTTCAAACTGCCCTGTTTAATTTCATTCCTTATATAGGCACTGATTTTTAGGTGTCTTAGATCTACCTATAGGTTTTCTTTGGATATTAGAATGTAACTGGAAATTATCCAGACTGTCTATGATGCCAATTTAAAAAAAAAAAAAAAAAAAGGATAATTTCTGGGGGTTTTCTTGGTATAGGAAGAACATTCAAAATCTTTGTACCTAGCTTAAAATCCAATTTCACATTGTCTTTGTAATTATTTCTTTACTTCTGGACTGTCACACAGAGTCTGTGTTTCCCTAAATTACTGTGGTGCTTGTTGACATTGCCCTCTCTTACTGGTGTGGATTGGGCTTATCAGCAATAAGCTAACCTCCTCTGAATTCACTTCAGTATCTGCCAGTCTGTAGTTACTGCAAAGATTTCTCTTTTATTTTTCCTCTTCTTTTCCCCTTGGCTAGTTCAGCATTTTCAACCATTTTCTTTATTTTCAAAGGCTTACGCCTGAGGGATTAAGATCTACATTCGTTTAATATCGGGAATAAAGTGGAAGTTTGAAACTGCAAGGCTAAAACTTGAAGAAGGATCTTTGTAGAGATTAATATTTTCCCGAGCAATCTGCGAGCTGAATCATGGTTTAATTAAATAGCCCAGATTTAGTGAGTTTGCACTTAAACATTAGCATCCCCTAGAATGTGCAAGGCTGAAATGAGTTTGAATTTTTTCTGTAAATGGGAAGTTAAATTATCATAGTAATTTCATTAAATCATTTTTTAATCTTTCGAGCCAAATCACAACTTTAAGAGAATAATTTGGAGCTGTAGTCACTGTTTGTAAGTGCCTGTCTCCCCTCTGGCTTTCTTACCCCATTTCCTGTTCCACTTGCAGATCGTTTCCCTGTTTCATACAGAACCAGCCCAATTTCCTACTGAGCTAAAAGCTGAACATCTCTAGTCATGTGCTCCAGAATGACCTGTCTCCCTGTGCAGTATTGTATAGAGAATTCTGCAACAAGAGTCAGCTTTTGACCTGCCTAGAATTTGTTACTGCTAAAATGCTTCTATCTGGTTCCCCAGCTGCATTGTGGGTTAGGGGAGAGGAGGAGGAGATGTGTCACTACTGCATGAAGTGTGCGTGGTGCCTGGGAAATGACTTGGAGCAGCACGTCGTGTCTGTGCTATGTTCCACAGTTGTGAATATCTGAGGGCTTGGTAGAGTCAGGCAGTGGAGGCAATTTGTTTGGAGTTTGCATTCCAAATAAAGCGCGGTGGTTGGACATTGTGCTTGAGACATCAGTCACGTTTGTCTGTGTGCGTTAACATCTCTGTATTGATTACATCCTGCTTGTAGGGTGCAGAATTCAGAGATTTTCTCTTATCGACACAATTATTTAATAGGACCACCATATTAAAAATCTATCAAAAACATATGGATTTGACGAATGGACTTACTAAACTTTTAACTTAGAACTAAATTTTGCTAGCCAGACCATTTCCCTGGCATCATTTTTAGAATGTCTTGGCCTTCTTTTTCCCTAGCATAGGGATTTTTGAGTCTCAGCTTTTGGCACAGTGCACCTCAATGTGCAGTATTGCATCCCTGCAGCGTGTCTCCCTGCACGCTTCCTAGAGCGTGTATCCGCTAAGACTCAGAATTATTAAACATGTGAAATTCCCATAGGACTCCATTATGTGTAATTAACAGATAAACTGTCATCAGAATCAATAAAACGTGCTAAATGATCCAAACTTGTATATAATTAAGTGTCTGTTTTAGAGCAGGAGCTGTAACTTTTTTTTTTTTCTATTCAATTTGCACATTTGTTTTGACAATAGAAGCTGGAACATTTTGGTTAACCTGTTACTTACCAGTTTGTATTTTAGTTTCATATGTTTCTGCGTAAAAAAGCAAAGCATTTACTATGGGGCCTTATTACCTGGGCAAGCAGTTGTGTGTAAGCTTCCAGGAGATGAATCTTAGATGCACCTTCATGCTCAGAATGTAATTGAAGTATTTGAAGCATATGGAAAATTTGTTGCTGTTGTCATCAGCAGGGGGAAAACATAAGGCAAATCTAAATATCCAGCACATCACTTAATGCAGGGGATGGAAACAGTGATGGAAGTGAGTTCTTCCCTGTCTAACTTCCCAGCCATTATTCTGCCTAGCGTGGGAGCTTTATTCCAAAAAAATCCCACCCCACAAGATACTAAGAAAGCCCTCTACTAAACAGATTTCTAAAGAGATGCTGTGGCAGTACAGTGGATTCACTGTCCCAGTCACACCCCATGTTGCACTCACAGTGTCACGTACCCTGGGACGTGCACCCCTTCAGAAGTCCCATTTTCATGTGATACTCTATTTGGTCTGTGAGTCCGCAGGGCATCCAAATTTTGGTAACTGATTCAGGTGTTTGGTGACCCATTTCCCCTGCAGCTATTCTTCCCTCCTCGCATTCCTCTTCCTTGGAATACATTGCTTTTTCTTTGGCATTTATGATTACATAAAACTGGAGAGTTAGGGCTTCTCATCTGAAATCATCTCCGCATGGTCCAGTAACTGCATGTTCTCAGGGACATCTTCCCCTTTGTATTTATACTGTTTAGGGTTTTACAGTTATTTCAGTTAGATCTTTTCTTTTTATTTCACACTTCCATTGCTTTAATCTTTCCAGGTCACATAGCAGCTCAGTTTAGTTCTCTGTGTGCCTTTTGCCCAGACTTCTCACTCAATGCTTACAACACCAGAACACCTCACCTGGGAAGGGTCAGGGCCAGACGCTTGCTCTAGGGGGGTTAAATAAATGGCAAATCCCCAACAATAGCAGGACAAAGCAACCTCTGGGTGGATTGTCGAAAAGGAGCATAACTCAATGCTGCCTCTCTATCTGATGGGCCTGAGGGAGAAAAACTTTGCTAGGCCTATCAGGAAATCACATCAAACCCACTCTTCCCTTCTGTCAGTGAAGTACTCCTCACACTGTCATTTTTATGTAGCTGTTGGCACCACTGATGGCCACAGCTTCCAGTCTCTCAACCTTGAAGCCTGCTGCAGTCTCCCACAGCCTTCCCATAGCATTCCCATAACTTTTCTCACAACTGTGTGAGGCACCATGTGGAACAGCCAGGGTGGCCAGTACCTGGTTTCAGAAGGATGAGGAGAAGGATTGCTTACCCAGGAGTTTAATTTATAGCTCGGCAGCAATTTTAGTTACTGTCCTAAGGGTTGATCTCGAAATAAGCGTGTAATTATCCCTCTCCTTTGTAAAAGAGGACGGCACCAAGGAAAGTCATGCAGGCGTTGAGCTGCCTGACGTTCTGGCACGCCCTGCTGACACCTCCTGTCGCTCCTTTGTTTTGCAGACTCAATGCACATAGAGGACGTTGAGGCAGTGCAGAAACTTCAGGACGTCTTACATGAGGCTCTGCAGGATTACGAGGCCGGACAGCACATGGAAGACCCGCGTCGTGCCGGCAAGATGCTGATGACTCTCCCACTTCTGAGGCAAACCTCCACCAAGGCTGTGCAGCATTTCTACAACATCAAACTGGAAGGCAAAGTCCCCATGCACAAACTTTTTTTGGAAATGCTGGAGGCCAAGGTCTGACTAAAGCATCATGGGCTTTCCCATCATGCACGTTTTAAAAGAAAAAAAAAAAAAAAAAGGGAAAATAAACAGGATAATAATGGCAAAGAAACTTAGTGTTTAATTAAGGAAAAAAAAATGACTGCACTGATATTTAGCAGCAAGACTGTGAAGCAGCTTTCAACTTTTTCTTCTGTGTCTTTCTGATGCAGTTTTTCCTTTCCTTTTCCTTTTCTCTCTTTTCCTTTCTGTTCTTTCCTTTCCTTTTTCCTTTTCTCTTTTTCCTTTGCTGCTGAACTTTTTAAAAGAGGTCTCTAATTGAAGAGAGATGGAAGCCAGGCCTGCCAAAGGATGGAAATCCATAATATGGATGCCAGTGAACTTATTATGAACCATAATGTCCCCAATGACAAAGGAATCAAAGAGAGAACCACCGTACCTAGCAGTACAGTACAACACGATGAACTGACTGAATGCAGTATTAGATTTCATAGGAGCAGTCTCTAATTAGACGACTAAGCGACGATGCATCGGCTGCTTCTTATCATTGCATTTTCCATCTAGATCAGTTACAGCCATTTGATTCCTTAATTGTTTTTTCGAGTCTTCCAGATATTTCTTAGGTTAGCTACAATGTAACTTTTTCAGGGAATAGTTTAAGCTTTATTCATTCATGCAATACTAAAGAGAAAGAAATACTGCATTTTTGTGCTGGCTTGAACAATGATGAACAATAATGAAGGACAAATGAATCCTGAAGGAAGATTTTTTAAAATGTTTTGTTTCTTCTTACTAACGGAGATTTTTTTGTACCAGCTTTACCAGTTTTCAGCCATTTATTAATGTGGGAATTTATCTTACTAAAGCAATAGTTGAAGGGAAGGTGCATATTATCACGGATGCAATTTATGTTGTGTGCCAGTCTGGTCCAAAACATCCAGTTTCTTAACATGAGCTCCAGTTTATAACTAAATGTTCACTGACTCAAAGGATTAGATTACACCTACAGTATATCTGAGTAGTCTAGCATATAAATACGCCATGTCAAATACCAATCTATAAAGGTGTTAGGAGACAGCGACTGTACAGAGGTATAGTTGCTATGTGATTTCTAACTGCTTCAGTTGTCGATGAATGAGATACTGCCTGTTTGCAAAATTATAACCTTACACACAGAGAAACCCTCGGTAGCTTAGAGGCAATAAGGCAAACGCCAACGTCTGCAAAATTAAGAAATCAGAGTAGTAGACTTCTGACCAAATTCAACGATTTAACACTTCTATACCTTATTTATTAATTTAGATTTTATTTTGTAAATTGCAATTGTTAACAAGTAGCTAAACCAGTATACGTGCTTTTCAACCAGTATTGTCACAGCATGGAAGTCAGTCAGTTTCAAGACTGTTAAGAGGTGTAATCTAATGTATAAACCGATTAGATGCCCCCAGAAAACTACAGTCGCTAAATAACCAATAAACAGTAACCTCCATCAAACGCTATACCAATGTACCAGTGTTAGTAGCTGCTCCCTGTACTATGTGAACATCCTTATTCTATGTACACAGATGTAATTAAAATTGTAATCCTAACAAACAAAAGAAATGTAGTTCAGCTTTTCAATGTTTCATGTTTGCTGTGCTTTTCTGAATTTTTATGTTGCATTCAAAGACTGTTGTCTTGTTCTTCTTGTGGTGTTTGGATTCTTGTGGTGTGTGCTTATAGACACAGGGTAGAATTAGAGACAATATTGGATGTACAATTCCTCAGGAGATTACAGTAGTATATTCTATTCCTTACCGGTAATAAGGTTCTTCCTAGTAATAATTAAGAGATCGAAACTCCAAACAAATACTCGTTATGAACAGATACACATCGAAATCATAATATTTTCAAAACAAGGGATAATTTCTGTAACAGTTTATTATAGAATACCAATGTATAGCTTAGAAATAAAACTTTGAATATTTCAAGATTATAGATAAGTCTAATTTTTAAACGCTGTAAATATAGCTTTTATCCAATCATCTCTCAGATGTTGTTATTAACTCGCTCTGTGTTGTTGCAAAACTTTTTTGGTGCGGACAAGTTTCCAAAACTATTGCTACGTTGTGTGCTTTAAACAAAATAACAATGGGCCGATGCGACGTCGGCCTTGTGCTAGAAAAGACTGTGTATCTATCATTAGCTATATGGGACTATATTGTAGGTTGTGTTTTCTCAGTAGAGAAGTGACTGTAGTGTGATTCTAGGTAAATCATCATAAGCAATTCATTCAGATGGTCAATAACTTGAAATTTATAGCTGTGATAGGAGTTCAGAAATTGGCACATCCCTTTTTAAAAAAAGTCAGAAAAAATACAACTCCTGGGAAAAAGGTGCTGATTCTATAAGATTATTTATATATGTAAGAGTGCAAAAAAAAAAAAAAAGTTTATTTTCCAGAAAGTTTGTGCAGGGTTTAAGTTGCTACTGTTCAAGTACACTATATATATATAAATATATAATATAAATATTGTTTTTGCTGTATCACATTAAAGAACTTGGGCTTCAGGGTCAAAAGCCAGTCGACTAGAAATATACAAAAACACACACAAAAAATGGAGATGTGTTAAAGGCACACGGTGCAAATTTTAGTTTTCGTTTTCAGTAATTTTTGGAGCTGCAAAAGAACAAGTATCTCAAGACTGTAAAAGCATTACCTGAACTAGAGCTAAAAGAACTGCACGGGCTTTACCATATTGTTCATCTTAAACCTTGCTGGAGAAGAGTTCTTACAAGACCACTTACTTAATGTGAAGTGTTGGGAAATTTTCGAAGGGTGTATGTTTTAGCCATAACAATTTAATTTCTATTTTTGCTTCATTTTTTAATTTTTTCTTATTTAAAGCAATATGATTGTGTGACTCCCAGAAGTTACACATTTGTTTCAATCAGATCAGATTGTTGTATTTATTCCACTATTTTGCATTTAAATGATAACATAAAAAGATATAAAAAATTAAAACTGCTATTTTTCTTATAGAAGAGAAAATGGGTGTTGGTGATTGTATTTTAATTATTTAAGCGTCTCTGTTTACCTGCCTAGGAAAACATTTTATGGCAGTCTTATCGTGCAAAGATCGCAAAAGGACAAAAAAAATTAAACTGCTTATAATAATCCAGGAGTTGCATAATAGCCAGTAGTTAAAAAGCAAAACAGAACAAAAAATAAAAACAAACATGTCTATAGCTGTAGATGGGCTTCACATCTGTATAGCAATCAACTGTATATTTTTGTGATGTGTATCATACCGTGTGCTCCAACCAATGTCCATTTGTGTAAATGTATTTATTTTATATTGTATATATTGTTAAATGCAAAAAGGAGATATGATTCTGTAACTCCAATCAGTTCAGATGTGTAACTCAAATTATTATGCCTTTCAGGATGATGGTAGAGCAATATTAAACAAGCTTCCACTTTTGATTGCTTTTATTTTATTTTTTGTGTTGTGGGGTTTTTTTGGTTTTATTTTTGTTTTCTAGGGAGGAAATAACCCGATCAGCATCACCTTTTGTTACTTCCATTCAAAGAGTAGAGAGCATCACCCTCTTCCCTTGAAGTACAATATGAGTGTAAATAAATGCTATATAAAGCCTTGTCAGAATGAATTCCGATGTGGTACAAGACATTTTGCATACTCTTAAATATGCAAAATGTCTCATAGCACATTAGAATTCAGGCTGACAGGCCTTTATATAGCACTTATTTAATCTTAAAGCATCTCCACATCAACCTGCATTACTCAAAATCATTGCCTCTCTGTCAATGTCATAAAAGAAAACTTTCCCACTATTTTAAGATCACGTTAATATCATCTGGAAGTACTTACTTGCTTTTTCATCAACAGCCGAGCCTATCATTCACTTCCTACCGTAGGAGGTCCATTTTGTGTCTGCTGGGTAAAAAACAATAATAATAAAAAAAATTAAAAATCTGTATTACTTGATCCAGGTTTTCTGAATGGAAGTCAACAGCCATAGGAGCAATAATATAGATTGGTGTTAATTAAGTGCACTGATAAGTCTTTAAGATTCCGGGGGTTAAGCAGCATGGTTCAGAGCTGGCCTTGATGGCCCCACAGGGCTCGGCCCATGCTGCCAGTGGACCCTTCTGGACCCATCACAGAAGTGCTAATGTGTGCTTTTCTTGCCTTCTAGTCTGCCTTGGTAGTACTTTGTCATGCTTGCCAACATATTTCTCACCTTCACTGCTGGCTATCCTCCGGAGGCTCTGGCTGATGGTGCAGCACAATGCTGGGGGCCTGCAGCATGACAGTGAGCCTTGAACAGTGCAAGGGCTACCCGGTGCCAGTGGGAGGGCCTCCTCTGTGCTGGTAGCACCTTCGGGTATTTTAACAGTGCTAAGAGAAGGGGTTTGATAGGAGGAGTGGCAGAACAACAGAAGTTTGGTCATGTATGGACTCTTCAAAGGAAGGTTTTAGTGTTGACACCGATGCGCGTGTGCATACGCCGGCATTTGTATGCCCACCCCTTTTTTGATGTTCTGATTTTGAGTTACTGCAGTACCTCCTCAAAAGATAGCAAATACTATACCATACCTTAGGGGTGAAGAAAGGAGTATTAAGAGCTTTTCACACACCGGTGGGAAAAAGAGCAGCCGTCCCCAGCTGTGCCGTGCCTTCCTCAGCACGTGACTGCATCTACTTGCTGGTGAAGTGTCCCCACATACAATTAAATGATAATTTCTTTCCATTTGAGGATCGTGCAGCATTATACAATTGTAAATTTGGCATTAAAGAAGAGGAAATGCAGGAGGGAAAATGCAGGATACACAGAAATACAGAGGAATGCAGCTCTGTGGAGTCGGTTGAGTTTTGTGCTCTTTTTCCCCCCCCCTTTTTTTTTTTTCTTTCAAAACCTCTCACCGTCTCCTCAGCAAAGCCAGGAGGCGCACAGAGATCCAGTGAAAGTGTTGAGGTAGGCAGAATCGTTTCAGACGGCACCTGTGGGGAATTTGGCTGGGAGCACGAACCTCTCTGAACTCTGGAGCCAGCTGCTGAACCTTACAAGCCCGGGAAGGGCTGGTGGCAGCGCCGTTAGCCCCTCGTCCCCCCTTTGCACTGCTGCAGCCCCGCAGCCCGGCTGCATCGAGGCCGCTGCTCCGAGCACCGACCGGCGAGCCGGCAGCCTTCCCACCCCGGCTGTGCCTAACCGCAGCGAGGCAGTAGATTTTGCCTGGCACGGTTTGCATCCCGCTCCACCCCCATAAGAGGGGCAATCCCCGGGTGAGAGCACGGTTCTGGCACCGCAGCCGCCTGTCCCCGTCCCTGCCGCCGACCCCCCCTTGCTCCGCGCTGCAGCCCTGGCACCGGCGGCAGGCCAGGCTGCCCGATGCCGTCAGCGCTGATGCAAAAGGGAAACGTGCTGAGGGGCTGCGCGGTGACACGGGGCTCTGAGCTTCCTTCGGAGCTCCGCGTTCAAGCAATGGTCTGAAGGAGTTTGGCCGGGGCTTTTTGTTTCGTTGACCTTGAGAGTTCGCAGTGCGAAAGCGGCTGGCGAACGCCCATAAGAAGTCGTCTGCGGTGGTCTCTGTAGCTGGTCCTCACAGAGAAGGAAACGGCTCGAAAATCCTGTACCCATCGTGCTACCGCACGTGCAGTTACATGGGCTTCCTAACGCACAGACAGCACTGACGCTGTCGAAACAATGCTGGAAGTTAAACAGGTTAAAAAATATATGTAAGTCAAATAATGAAAGATGGATTCTGAAAGATAACCGAGGTGGGAATATTGCCTTTAGTGAGACAAGCCCTGTGCTGCGCAACTCTGTGTCCTTCTGTGGGATCACCTGGCAACAGCCTGCTGGGGAAATGAGAGACCTCGTGCCTACAGGCTTATTCAGCCCAAAGTTCTTTTTCTTTTTTCTTTTTTCTTTTTCCTTTTCTTTTCCTTTTTCCTTTTCCTTTTCCTTTTCCTTTTTTTCTTTTCCTTTTTCTTTTCCTTTTCTCTTTCTTTTCTTTTTCTTATCTCTTTCTTTTTTTTCCTTTTCTTTTTCTTGTTCTTTTATCTCTTTCTTTTTCCTTTATCTTTCTTTTTCCTTTTTTCTTTTTCTTTTCCTTTTATCTCTTTCTTTTTCTTTCTCTTTTCCTTTTTCTATCTTTTCTTCTTTTTCTTTCTCCTTCCGTTTTTTCAATTTTTCCTTTTCAATTTTTTTCTTTTTTGTCTCTTTCTTTCCTTTTCTCTTTCTCACTTTTTCTCATCTTCTTCTTCTCCTCCTCTTTTTTTTATTTTTTTTTATTTTATTTTTTTTGCTTTTGACCATTACCTGTCCTTCTTCTTGCCCTGAAGTGAAGAAAGTGACAGCTTTCATCTGCTTTCTGAATTCCTATTTCATTTTCCCATGGCCTTTGTTTATTTCTGTAACATTTCTTTCTTTCTTTTTTTTTTTTTTTAACTTGCACATTCCCTTTACTTTGCATTTTGTCTCTGCAGTGCAGTGTAGATCTCTGATTCCACATGGCACATTGCTAATTACTGTATCCTTCGTTACACCGCTTGGCTGTGGTAGCTGCCTCACAAGGCGTGTGCTTTTCCTGTCTGATACGCTGCTGATTCCACGTGTGTAGATTGTCTCTCCCTTAACACACAGTTCACAAACTTCCTCCTTGTGGCTGCTATTAAGATAAAAGTAAGTACAGAAAAGAATATGGATATTTTAACTTGCTCTTAACGTTTTAGTCACTAGTGTTCAAAGGTGTTTGCACTGTGATTCTGTGATACATCCTAACTGTGCTAATTGTTACCGCTTTGTTAAGATGAAATCCCATTTTTCTTCAGTGCTCAGATTCCCAAGCCCAGTTTCTTACAATCCCTCCTAATGTAAAAAAGCAAGTGGCGACAGATTGATTACACGCAGGATCTTATTATTAAGCAGAACAGAAAAGAAAGGAATTTCAAAATATAGTCCTCTGTTCCCAGGAGTATTTGTCTTGTTCTCCACGAAGTTAAAGGTCTGAAATAATGTGCCCATCAGGAGCTCAATGTTGCATGTCCGTGCCAGTTGGTCCAAGGGCTTGTTATGATGGTAATGACCTGCTGAAACGTGAGCTTTGATGGCAACAATACAATTGCTACCAGCTCACCCGCTGGGAGAAATATTTTATTATTGTCAAATGCCCTCCGCAGAGATTTGTTTTGCCTGTTCCTGTTTAAATTAAATTCAGAGCAGAACTGCATTATTATTTCTCTAGAGTATATTTGAAATAAACAACTAGTCTCCAAATTTAGGATTCCTGGTTAGTTTAAATTTTCTTATTAGCAGAAAAATTACAATAGGTGACAACATAGCTGCAGGAATATTATTATGGCAGCCATACAAGAGATTTACACACTGAGAGCATGGCCTAAAAGCACAAGAACTCCCTTCTACTTTACAAATGCCAGCCAAATTAATAATTAACTGTGCCATAAATTCTACAGCCTTAAAGAATGATGTCAATGCTTTTCTGTGTCACACGAGAGGAATTTTGTCATAAGACCAAGCAGGGTTCTCAATGAAGAGTGCTACTTAGACGCAGGACGCAGACCCAGGAAGCAGAGCTTGCCACTCTGCATTACCGCGGCTCGGCGGACGGGTGACAGCAGGACTTCAGAATCATTTACTGCTGCTTTCTCAAGGCAAAACTGTGCCCCTATGCCTCTGAAATGGAGCACTTTTTGTTACACATTCAGTGGGCCAGATTATCTCTTCCACAAGCTAAAGAGACAACACGGAGTCCCAGCTCATGCAATTTCCTCCAGAATTGCTCTGCCCAGCTGGGTGCTCCCAGCAGTACTGCCCAGCCATGCAGTTTTACACCTCTGCCTGCTGAGTGCAGGCTAGGCAGGCATTGACCTACATGCATGAGGTCTGGGGCCTGCTTGTGGCCTCACAGCCACCGGCTGTAACAGGCAGGTGTTCTGCAAAGAGTAAATAGATCTGATGCCCAGTGGACATCCCTACACTGTGAAACAGAAACACCTCAGTCCTGCAGGCCTCATGTTTCTCAGCTGCAGGCATGGCCTGCTCGGTTGGTGGTAGACCAGAGCCCAACAACAGTGCCCACTGCAGCTCGCTCCCCGCAGCCTCTGCGTCATGGCACAGCGGTTCTCCATGGCCAAAAAGAAGTGCTGAGCCAGCCCTTTTCAGCATTTCTCATCTCCTTCTTCCCTCCCCATCCCCTCTTGCTCCTCTTTCCTGCAGGCTTGGTGCTGTGCTGCCAAAGTTGTCCTAAAACTACAAAATAACCCCAAAATTCCTGAAGAAATTTTCTGTGGAGGACTCCCAGCTCAACACATTTGGGCCATGATCATGGAAAGAAATTGCTTTGTTATGGGGCAAGGGAAAACAAATTCCTACTAATCAGCCCCTGTCCTGCCTAGGTTTGCGTATGTGAACTTGAAAAAAGCAGCTACTGGCTCTTTCCCACCTACTGGG